GCCACCATGCCCAGCTAATTTTTTGTATTTTTAGTAGAGACGGGGTTTCACTGTGTTGACCAGGATGGTCTCGATCTCTTGACCTTGTGATCCACCCGCCTCGGCCTCCCAAAGTGCTGGGATTACAGGCTTGAGCCACCGCGCCCGGCTTGTTTGTTTGATTTTTAAGACAGAGTCTTGCTCTGTCTCCCAGGGTGGAGTGCAATGGTGCCATCTCAGCTCACCACAACCTCGGCTTCCTGGATTCAAGTGATTCTCCTGCCTTAGCCTCCCAAGTAGCTGGGATTACAGGCATGCCCCACTATGCTCTGCTAATGTTTTGTATTTTTAGTAGAGGTAGGGTTTCACCATGTTGGCCAGGTTGGTCTTGAACTCCTGACATCATGATCCTACAACTTTGGCCCTCCAAAGTGCTGGTATTACAGGTGTGAGCCACTGCGCCTAGCCTGCATGTTTCTTATAACTTACATATGACATCTTACTATCTGCATGGTATTATCACCCCTTATCTGTGGTTTCACTTTCTGCAATTTGATATAACCCTTGTTCAACGTCAAAATATTAAATAGAAAATTCTAGAAAGAAACAATTTGTAAGTTTTAACTTGTGAGCTCTTGGGAGTAGCATGATTAAACCTTGTGCCATCCCACTCTCAGCCCTGGACATTGATCATTTCTTTGTCAGCATACCTGTGCTGTATATGCTACCTAGCTGTCAGTCACTTGGTAGCTTTTTATTCACTTAGTAGCTTGTTAGTCACTTGGTAGCCATCTTGGGTGGTGTTTATCAGATCAACTCTTGTGGTATTGCAGTGTTTGTGTTCAAGTCACCCTTATTTTACTCAATAATGGACTCAGAGCAAGAGTAGTAATGCTGGCATATTGTTATACTTATTTCATTTTATTAATGTTAGCCTCTTACTGAGCTTAATTTCTAAATTGCATTTTATCATAGATATGTATGTATAGAGAAGAACATAGTATATATAGAGTTTAGTACTATCCAAAGTTTCAGGCATCCACTGGGGGTTTTGGAACATAATATATGCCCTTGGGATATGGGGGTAGTATTGTATTCTTCTGGGTTCAGTATTGTATGATTCTTTCATGTTGACGCACGTAGCTCTGGTTTGTTCATTTTTACTTATGGATAGCATAAATATACCAATATGGTGCTCATCCATTGTATCTTAGAAGGCTATTTAGTTTTACAACTATTTGTAAGTAAAAACATTGATGTTTGGAATATTTCTGTACATGTCTTTTATTGTTGTTCAAATATCTGACGGGTTCTCTGAGAGCCTGGCTTTGGCAAACTAAAGCCTACAGGCCACATTAGGGTAACACCAGTTTTTGTAGATAATTTTTTTTTTTATTGGAGCACTGCCAAGATCATTTGTTTATACAATGTCTGTAACTACTTTCACACTTCAACAGCAGAGTTGAGTAGTTGTGACAGATACCATATGTTTTGCAAAGCTAAAAATATTTCTGTGGTCTTTTATAGAAAAGGTTTGCTGACCCTGCTCTAGTGTACTAGGAGAACAATTGCTGGGTCATGGGGTATGTATGTCTTGGACCTCACTAGATATTGCCAAATTGCTTTCCAAAGTGTTTATACCTGTTTATTCCCCTGAAGAAGTGTAGGAGAGTATCGTTCCTTCACCTTCTTGCCAATACTTGAAGTGGTCTGCATTTTATGGTGATGAAATTTTATCTCATTGTGATTTTAATTCTCATTTCTCTGATTACTTGTAAGATTGAGCACCTTATTATCTTACTGTGTTTGTGTAGAACACTTTCATGTTTTCTCTCTTTTTTTTTTTTTTTGAGACAAGTCTGACTCTGTTGCCCTTTTGCCTAGGCTGGAGTGCAGTGCCTTGATCTCGCCTCACTGCAACCTCTGCCTCCCAGGTTCAAGTAATTCTCTTCTTAGCCTCCCAGTTAGCTAGGATGACAAGCATGCACCATCCTACCCAGCTAATTTTTGTATTTTTAGTAGAGATGGGTTTCACTATGTTGGCCACGCTGGTCTTGAGCTCCTGGCCTCAAGTGATCTGACCCACCTTCTCCAATCTCTATTTCTAGGTAACGCCTGAGCCACTTTCTGTCTTGTAGATTATTTTGTTTTTCTGTAATTTTATATACAGTCATATGTTGCTTAACAACAGGGATGTGTTCTGAGAAACGTGTCTTAGGTGATTTTGTGTTGGTGAGCGAATATCAGAGTATACTGACACAAACCTAGATGGTATAGCCCACTACACACCTAGGTTATATAGTGTAGCCTGTTGCTCCTAGGCTACAAACCTGTATGCAGGGCTGGGCGCAGTGGCTCATGCCTGTAATCCCAGCAGTTTGGGAGGCTGAGGCAGGTGGATCACCAGAGGTCAGGAGTTCGAGAGCAGCCTGACCAACATGGTAAAACCCTGTCTCTTAAAAAAAACAACAACAAAAAAAACCCTGTATGCAGGTGTCATGGTATCAATGTTAACTTCCTGATTTTGATGGGATTGTAGTTATGTAAGAGAATCCCTTTGTGTGTAGGAATTAAATACTGTAAATATTTAAAATGGTTGGGATTTGGTGCTTTACACACTATTGCTTCAAGAAAAAGAAAATAGAATTATTCTTGCAAAAAAGAAAAGGTAAAGATGAAGATGTAAAAGATCAGAAACCTGGATACTTTTAGGAATCTAGGTAGCCGATTCATCAGAGTCCTGCTGCTGGATATGTACCAGATAACAGAGTCTGGTTTTTTCAATGAAAAAGAATAAATCAGAAACAGCAGCATTCGGAGTCACCATTTGATTATGATAATTAACTGTCATTTTCCAAGAGCTATCAGATTTTTGCAGTGGTCAAACTATATAATAGGAATATATAGGATTTACTACCCCTTCTTCTTTTTTTTTTTTTTT